TTCTATCATTCCTTAAGAAACTAAGAATAATACGAATAATTTCAGGAGGAATATAAGGAATTTTGGTCATTTTTTTTGCTGGAACAACATTTGAACCAGTGAGTGGGTAAACTATTAATTGAGATAAAATATGCATTTTTTTTTTTTTGATAAATGAAGATTAATATGAATTGAAGATTGATTGGATTGATTACTGAGAAATTTAAGTATTGAATAATTATATTGTTAAATTTATTAAATAATTTTGTCTTTTTAATATCTTTTCTAGGTGTTTGGTGTTGTGTTGAAATGAGCGAGCGGAATTTCATGCCTTTATATATATTTTTATCGAAGTAAGAACAACTTATCAAAGATAGTAAAAATAATCCCATTGATATTAATTCCCATAAATGGACTTACTTTTGTACGTAACCTCGGGTATCTTTATACATTATTGACGTTACTACATTTATGTAAGTCCAGCCTATTAGTAAGTGTATTACCTTTAACAGCCTATATCGATATTATTAAGTTGTCAAAAAAAGCTGGGTAACCACTAGCCGCCAACAATGTTATTACAGTATGTTCAATGATATGAGTCATTTGATTATGGCCGAAAAACTGGGTTTTTATTTATTTTGGTTACAACACGCCACATTTAAACATCCGAATGCACGGAATTATTAATAAAAAATAATTGCCAAAAGACTTCATTTATGTTAGAGACGGATATTTTAGAACCACCAAATTAAACCGATTCGCACAAAAACAATTTTAACAGGCATGCATTAACGTACCGAAGAATCATACAAAGAACAATCACTAGAAAGTTTATTTCCGTTACGGTATATAACAATATGCCTTAACATGTGGGGTGGAGTCAATAGAAAAGGGACAAATCGTTTTTAGTAAAATTTTTTAATTTTTAAATTATAGAATTAAAATAAATAAAAAATTATTAAATTTGATAATTGTTAAGATATTTAAGCTTAAGAAAACTCTTAGAAAAAATTTGTCCCTTTTCTATTGACTCCACCTCATATTTACTTTGGCTATGTTATCTATTCTTAGTTTTTTCATATCGTGATTTACATTTTAATTCAACTCCATTGATATGCGAACCTAAAGTTTTTTTTTTTTAGAATCGTTAGCCGAACACTTGCTTGATGACCACAATGTGTAACACAGAATTTTCGATTTTCTGTACACATTTAGTACGTATAATAACCATTTGGAATTCTAGAGTAGAACTCGTTACGTATTATTACATTGTTACGCTTTGCCTTTGTACTCATTATATTAATTGTCGAATAACGGCAATTTGTCAAATGAACACGTGCCGCAAAGCAGCACGTGTAGCCAATCATTTGTCAAATTATTGTATTCGACTATTTTCCCAATAATGCAATTTATGACCATGATTGGTAGAGTGTTGCTCGCTGAGTTTTAATTTGGGTACTAGAATAAGCATAGTTACATCGTAACACATGAAAAAAATAACAAAGAAATTTTCATGATCATATGAGTTTGCCAGATAATTACAACTTAATAACCGCGTTGATAGAGAGTAATAACTGTTAATTTGGAATTATAGAATGCATCTTTTATTGGGGTGTGGCCTATCGGTCAATAGTGCAGGTCATATAGTAAATTCTAATAGTAAAGATTTTTTATAGATCGACAAATGTTATAGTAAAAAACATATAAAATTCAGCCTGCAATAACTCTAACCAGAAAACCCCCAGAAATAAAATTACATCCGTCAAGTTTGGTTTAACATACTCTTTATAGCAATAACGCCTTTTTTTATTTTTTCATTGTTTGGAGTATAGTAGAAGACATTCAGTTTCTATGCAAAATTCTCGTTTTTGATATTTTTTAAATGAAAATATCAAAAACGTAACATTGAGATTTCTGTCTGTCATCGTTGCATGTTGTGTAACACAAAAATCTCATAACGATTTAATTTTTTACTTGTTAAGATAGAAAATATCGATTAATTTTAAGAACCCCAAAAAAAGAGCGTTATTATTTTAAAGAGTATTTTAAAACAAACCTGACAAGTATAATTTTATCTATGGGGATTTGCTGGTTCAAGAGTTATTGCGGCTTGAATTTTATTATATATTTTACCTATCACTACCGTAGATCCAAAGACTTTTTCCAAGTATTTATATGGTTGTATATGATTATAAATAACGTCCTAAGATAAGAAAAATAACGAATAAAGAGGAACAATTTTAAAAGAGACTATAATTCTCATGAACTCAAATTTTCGGGAGCAGATGACATATGTTATGTTACAAATTGTTACGAATTTCCACCGAGGCCAATGCACTTTCTGGAAGCAAAGTGAGATTTTTATTACCGAAGGCCTGATTGGATGCTTGCTATATATAATAATAATAATATTATTATTATTTACTCAAGCACTCGTAATCGCTTATAAGAATAGTGTAACCCGCTATAGCATGGTCATATTATTATTAATTTTTGATTGGTTTGCGCCACATTACTAAGTGATATAACTTTTTGATGGCAAGTTAAACTATGATACGTAATCGATTAGAAATTCTTTAAGCAAATAAGGTTTTTCTATATGATACCTTTTGCCCTAGCATGAAAAAGGAAAATTCTAACGCACATTCTAATCCTAGCCATAAAAGAGTTCACTTGTAAAAGTTAGATTTTAAATTTTGATACTCAGTTATAAGTTATTTACCACAGCTAAACGTATGCTCTCGAATTTATAGATTATTAATAAAATTGATGATTAATTAAGTGATTAGCTATTAGACTTGCTTCGATAAAATTTTTAAATGTAGTATTAATTATATATTTTGGAGTCCGTTTTTTTAATTTACTTTTTAATACTGTGACATTATGATCAAGAAAGCACGTTAAATTTATCATATAATGAATAAAATAAAGTGGCGCTCAAATTTTTGTAGGTATCATTTGAAATTGTTACAAATTATCCAAAACACATTTTATATTTAAAAAAAATTTATTAATCTTTTCTATAATTTTTTATTATTTTACAAATTTAATACAGTCAACCCTCTCTATTCCGAACGGTCCGTTCTTATATGTAAAATTAGCCAAAAAATCAGTTCTTAAAGGGTATTATATTACTAATCCGAACTTTATAATAAAATTTACAAATGTTCTAGAGTTTTACGTTCGGTTCTCACAGAATTTATTAAGGTTCAGATTAGAGAGGTACGGATTAGAGAGAGGCGACTGTACAGTGTTTTTATAGTAAATTTTTATAAAATTGAAAGTTTTCAAAAAAAAAAAAAAAAGTTTTTGTAATAAGAAATTAATTATTTAAAAATGAATAATTAAATCTATATCATGCATCAAAGCTATAATATTGAAAAATTTTGCTCATAAATTCTGGGCCATATCCAGTTATATCAAGGTTTCTCTATCAGGTCGGACTGCTTCTCTTTGAGCTTCCCAAGAGTAATACCATAATTTATATCAATTTTCCATCCATCAATTGTGTAAAGATTTTTAAGTAATGATTCACTCATTTCGATTGTGTGAATAGGATGTTATTCTTTTTTATATCAGTAAGTAAATTGTTCATGTTTAAAATGTTAAAACATGGTATTGAAGTGAAATCAATATATTGTAAATTCGGTAATGATGTTAAAAGTTCTTTAATAAGATTCAAGTTGGTAATTTGAGCTTTTGAAATTCCAAGATTTTGTAATGATGGACAATTCTCTTTGATAGATGTTAAAATTCTTTAATAGCAGTGGTATCACCGTAAAGATTAAGAGTTTCCAATTGAGAACATTTTGAGACAAGAGATGAAATAGCATCGGATAAAATATTTTTTATGGAATATTTGTTCCAACTAAGAAATTTAAAGTTAAATCACTGATAGAACAATCTCCCAAATCAAGATGTGTAAGATTTGGAGTATGAGCGAGGAGGGGTATAATCGTGAGTATTCAGAAATTGTAGGACATTCATGAAATGAAAGTCGTTGCAAATGAGATAATAAAGGTTTGGAAGTCATATGAAAAGAAATAGTTGTTTCATCATAATCGTTGCAAGGTTGTTCAATTTTAACACGACTGATTGATCGAGAGAATTCTTCAAAAGCACTACTAAATTGTTTACTAGCGCAACCACAAAAATCGATACTTTTGACATTTTTACATTCTAAAAATAAAACCTTTAAAACATCAAGGGTAATTACGGATTTCAAAGATTCAGGTACAGAAAAGACGTTTAATTCGGTGAAGGATCTTAGAATATGAATTAAAAGATCTGGAATGATGACATTTTGCGTTTCAAAAGAACTTTTTTGTAAGCCACAGGTAGAGAAACTAGAAAGATCCAAGTGACGAACCATTTGAGAACAACGTTTTTTAATATCATTTGAGGCATTAACGAAAAGTGTAAATGTATGAGGAAAAGTAAATGCGACAGTATGATATAAAATAGGAGTAGCGTGAAGGTTAAATGTATGATTAACTAAAGCACAAGCAGCGAGAGTTTTTCTATCATTTCTTAAGAAACTAAGAATAATACGAATAATTTCAGGAGGAATATAAGGAATTTTGGTAATCTTTTTTGCTGGAACAACATTTGAACCAGTGAGTGGATAAACGATTAATTGAGATAAAGTATGCATTTTTTTTTGATAAATATGAATTGAAGATTGATTGAATTGATTTCTGGGAAATTTAAGTATCGAAGAATTATATTGTTAAATTTATTAAATTTTTTAATATCTTTTCTAGATGCTTAGAGATGAGCGAACGGAATTTCATGCTTTTACATATAATTTTATTGAAATAAGAACAATTTATTAGACAGTAAAAATAAACACTTTGATATCGAAAAGCACTGCACGCACATGACAAATTTTATTATTGGATGCGAATCTTGTTCGCTTCTCGCGATGATTTCCCGCGGTGTTCCCCGTTAATAATAATTTCGCGCTTCCAAATATAAGTAGTTTATTGCGTTATACGTACGTACGTTCCCATTTGAATTCATGCGACGTTGAGGTTCTGATTTACTTGATTAGGCTTCATAGCCATCCTTACCCTATAAGAGATTTTATCCGAATAACTCCATATTTATTGTGAAAATTCCGTGAATTTGCAACATGATCGACAAAATCTAGACAAGCCGAATAATCTCCATGATTTAAGGTTATAATTTCCGTGAATATGCGGAAAAAACATGGAATATAAAACACGGATCGACATTTTTTATAGAGTTATCGGGTTCACCTGCAATCTTTATCTTGTCTCAATGTGATTGTCGGGGATTCCCTTCTTTCAAGAAAATCCCGAGCTGAAGGTCACTGTAGATCCTTTCCGATCTGATTACAGAGCCCAAATATTCACCAATCAGAATAAAATTGGGGTCATTCGAGGTCATTTGAGGTCATTTGATCATTTGAAGGTCAACTAAAATGAAAATCCTTCCAAGAATCTTGAATTTCTTTAAACTTAAATTTATCATATTAAAAATTTTTTATTTTGATTTTATATATTTGTAAAAATTAAAATAAAAAAAGATCATTGAATTTGGTTTAGTGGTTGTCGAGGAACCTTTGAAAAACTTGAAATATCGGAAAAAATCTAAAATCGGCAAAATTTTTCTTTTTGAAACTTTAACCGATGATTTCTTAACACCCATACCGGGTTGGTGAAAAGTAACTGGACAGTGACCTTTTTTAATCACTATGATTATCATTTTAACGTTTAGTAATCATTGTAATAAATTGATAAAAATTGAACGTTAAATTGATAATCATATTGGTTAAAAAAAGGTCACTGTCCAGTTACTTTTCACCAACCCGGTATATCCAAATTCAATTAATTTTTTTTAAAAAATTTTTTACAAATATATAGAATCAAAATAAAAAAGTTTTACTAAATTTGATCGAAAAATCTTCACTAGAAGTTTAAAGAAATTGAATGTTTGGGCTCCGGAATCATGATCTTCAGCCCGGGATTTTCTACATAAGGAAACCCGATTGTCGACCAATTATTGATATTAGTTTTATTTGTGGCTACATTTGTGAGAGTCCAGTCTATTATTAGGTGTATACCTTACCAGCCTATTATTAAGTTATCATAAAAAAAGCTAGGTAACCACTAGCCACCAAAAATAACGTCAATGCTATTATGAACAATGATATGTGTCATTTGTTATAGCCGAGAACTGGTTATAGCACGCCACATTAAAACTTTAACCCGGAATAATTACAAACACATTATTGATGTTAGAGAACGTGGAACATCAAATTAATCCTATTCGCATAAAAATTTTAACGTGCATGCGTTAACATACAGAAGAGTCTTATACAAAATTAGAATAACCACTATCTGCTACTTAGAAATTTTACTTCGTCACGGTATATAATAACATGCGTCGTCATAGGCAATAGTTATACCATTTCTACTTAACATATTTACATCAGCAATGTTATCCATTCTAATTTATTTCCTATCGTTATTCTATTTATTATTTTAATCTAATCCATGGGTATGCGATCTTTGAAAAGGTTTATTTTTAGAATTGATGATTAGACACATGCTTAACGGGCCACAATATAACAGAATTTAATTTGTATCACAGAATTTTCGATTTTCAATCAACTTACTTTGCAATGGACCTTTTAAGTATATTTATTATAAATAACCGTTTTGAAATTTAAGAGTAGACTCGTTATACATTGTTACGATTTTTTGCTTTTGTGCTTATAAGCTCATTATATTTTGTTTATCTATTATTAATTAGATTTGTTTATTGGACCAAATTGCCAACTTGACTGCGTTATTATCTCTGGCATTCAAGATAATTAATAAGTTATGTGGTACGAGATAATAAAGTAAATTTGAAATTGCAAATTGTATCTTCTATATCCTTATCTTAATTACCGAACACCTGATTGGATACTTTGTTACGTGGATAATATTATTATTTAACCTTAACATTCGAATAGCCTAAAGCTTTCATACCAACCTCTCTTTCAAAAGTTTCACATTGTGTAAATTGTCTAATTTCAACTTATTTAGCAACCAAAATAATTTTCAGCAGCCAAAAATGATTATGGTAGCCGAAAACAATTTCAACAGCTAGAAATAATTATGGCAGCCGAAAATAATATAGTCATTTTGAAAACAAATTAAAATAGAATACATAAATCAAATAATAATACTGTAATACCAAATTAAGAAATATTAAAGAAATACTAAAATGTTCAGGAAAATACATCACGTAGTCACGTATTCAACCAATCAGATCAATTTATTTGATCCAACCAATCGATTAGTGATTGGATAGGATCGTAAAAAGATATTTTGAAAAGGTTCTTTCTACATAGTATCTTTACATTATCACGAAAAAAGAACAATTATAGTGCACATTCTAATCCTAACCATCAAAGAGAGTCCTCTTGTAAAAGTTAAATTTTAAGAATCTCATTAAGACCAGTTTTAACACACCAAAAATAGGGCCTTTGTCATTTTCCCGACAATCACTTTCTCGACAAATAAAATCCAGACAAAAATTGGCCAGAACTAACCTTAACCCTAACCTAATGCAGGTTAACTTATCAAGCTTATGCAGGTTTTATTTGAAAATATTACATCAAACCATTTTTATATTAAAATTTTTTTTATTAAAATTTTTTACGATTTTTATTATTTTACAAAATTTATAAGTACATACTGTCTAATATATTAAATTGATATTATGCATCAAAGCTATAATATTAAAAAATCTTGCTCATAAATTCTGGACCATATTCAGTTATGTCCAGTTTTCTACCATGTGTACTCTATCAGGTCAGCTCGCTTCTCTTTGAACTTCCTGAGAGTAATACCATCTTCTACCATAATTTACATCAATTTTCCATCCGTCAACTGCGTAAAGTTTTTTAAGTAATGATTTACTCATTTCAATTGTGTGAATCAGTGTTGGCCAATTGCATGTCATATAAATTTTTTTTAAAAGGTCATAATCATATAGTTCAGTAGTTGTTAAATCATAAATTATATGATTAAAATCATATGATATATGATTACTTGTCATATGATCGTTATTATTACATTTGTATCATTGTATGATTAATATTCATGATTTATATTTATTTGAGCATTATTTAACATCTTTGTGAACTTAAAAAGCTTTACTTAAAAAATATACATAAAACAAGTTGTTCTATCGTATTTCAACTTATAAAAATAGCAACATTTAACTAGCTACAATGCGTTTATATAATAAAACACAACCTAATATAGTATCATACAGTATTACTAGCATATTTAGGACATATATAACAATTAATAAAAGTATTAAACTAAAGGGAAATGTTAATTGATGCATCGGTGCCGCACATATTCAAATGAACAGGAGGAAACGTTGATATTACACAACTGATTTTACACACAGTGTGAAACACATAAAAAAATGATTTTACAATACTTGATCGGGTCAGCTAGTACATGTTATGATTATAATCCAGCATCATTTTTATTATAAAAAAATGGTGTTGGCTGACTGATCAAGTCCGATCAAGTATTGTAAAATCATTTTTTTATGTGTGTAAAATCAGTTGTGTAACATCAACGTTTCTCCTGTTATTCAAATGATAAATTCAACGATTCAGACTCCGTAAGTCAATGATGCACATTTGCTAATTCTGCCGTCAAATTCAAAGAATACATATAATAACGATAATGATAACGATTAGGCTTAGAGTATGATGTAATTAATACTTGTCTCTTATTATTTTTATTTTTTTTTATACATCTTGGACTCTTTCTTTTTTTTCTTACAACCACATAATCCATATATTCAGGATGCTCTGTCTTGAATTACTTATAAAAGCAATATAACCTAGTATTAATTCACAAAATGTATACCAGCCATACACAAGGTTTTATTATAAAGCCACACAAAAAAATAACCAATTATTCGAAGCAAATAAATGATGACAATTATTTATCTGATGAATGATGAATAGGCAATGAAAATAATTTATCAGATGCTGGTGAATGAGTGAACAATAGAAATGATTCTGGACAATGGAAATAAAGCTATTAAACAAGTGAATAATAGAAATAAAGTTACCAAACAAGTAAACAGTAAAAATAAAGATGCTGAACAAGTAGGTGCTAAAAATAATGTTAATGAACGAATAGTTAATAGAAATAAAGTTGCTAAATGAGTAAGCAATAGAAATAAAGCTGCCAAACAAGTAAGCAGTAAAAATAAAGCTGCTGAACAAATAAATAGTAGAAATAAAGCTGTTAAACAAGTGGGTAATAGAAATAATACCACTGAACAAGTGGATAATAGAGATAATACTGGTAATAAATAGATAATAGAAATAATGTTGAATGAGCAGACAATAGAAATAATATTAGTAAACAAATAGATAGTAGAAAAATACTAGTAAACAGGTAGATAATGAAGACAAAGCTATTAAACAAGTGGGTAATAGAAATAAAACTGCTAAGCGAGTAAGTGATAGAAATAAAGCTGCAAAACGAGTAAGTGGTAGAAATAAAGCTTTTGAACAAGTAGATAATAGAAATACTGATGATAAACAAGTGAATAATAGAAATATTGATAAACAAGTGAATGATAAAAGTGCCAAACGAATAGACAATAGAAATAATACAATAGATGATAAACAAATAAGTAATAATATCAATACTGGTAAGCAATTAGATGATAATATTGAAAATATGTTAGTAATTGAACAATTAAATGATATTGTTAAACAATTAGATGAATCTGAATTATTAGATAATGCAAGTGAACAATTTGATAATACTGCAAAACAACTAAAAGATATTGATAAAAACCACATATTGAATATTGTTGTAAAACAGGTTTTTACAATATAAAGTAGTTTAGCGTAGTTAATATTTTATAGTTTATATTTTATAGTTTATTTATATTTCATATTTATATTATTTAGTTTATATTTATTTATTTATTTTTTTTTTAAGCGATCCTGCCTTTATTCATGTGAACTGTTATATAATTTTTACACCCATGTGTACAAAATTCT